TGTTGGTTTGGGGGACCACAGAGATGCACATACAGTAGTCATACTTAGAGTGTCTAGGCAGGTCATACAAAGCCCGCCATCGCAGCAACAATGGATCTGATGCAGGATGTGAACGTTGTGTGGATCATAGTTGAAAGTAAGTGTATGTATAGCAGCGGGAAGCGTTCAACACAGACCAACGAACTATCTGAATGCGAAAAACCTTGAGATCCAACAACTATCAACTATCAACTATCACAATATGTCCTTCTAGCCTCGAAACGAGAGAACCGCCGAAAAAAGGGCCGCCTTCAAAATGGCGGTGACATGGCAAGGAGGGGGGATCAGAAAAAAAAAAACATGAGGATGAGAGAGAGAGAGAGAGAGAATGATGAGAGATGAGAGAGAGCGCGCGCGATCGAGCAAGCGTCGGAAGTGAGGGAAATGTGTGAGTGGTTGAGGAGGTGCACACCAAGAGATTCTATTTTACAAGGGATGTAATATTACCCAACCCCGAACAATCCCTCTTGACTATTTACTAGTAGTATTTTGATGTGGTTAATCTCCCATCCTATCTATCTGCTTTTCCGCTCACTTTGTTACCCTCTTATTTAATATCATTATTATTTTTATTGACGAGGTTTATTTTACTATTTCGTTTTTATCCCGAGGAATGCCGTAAGAGTATTACCTAACCTAGACAACACCGTCGCAATGAAATAATATTGAGATTTTCGGTCGCGATCCACCCAACTAGCCATTCTCCTTCATCGCTGTCAAGTCTGGACGAGCCCGTCGATACGAGATCTTTGCTAGGGGCAGACTAGCAGACGCCAGCCAGGAATAGCCTCGCGGCCAAGTGGAGCCTCCCCTCGGGGGGACGAGAGCTCTATTGGCCCGGGGGCTTGGCCTTTGGGGCTGGTGGTGTGTGCGATAAATAATTTAAGGCTTTCGGGACGATCTGGAGGGCGTTAGGGTGCGGGCCCCGCCCAGCGTCACCTTCCCTTCGTTTCTGACTAAAAGTGGTTCAATTCGACTGGGATAAGGGCTGACAAGTCACCACAATCAGATGAGTCTGGTGTGACTGGTCATAGCCGAAGATAAGTCGGCCCAGCTGGTAGGGTGGAAAAATTATTAGAAATTTACTGTAGATGAAGTAATTTCGCCGGGATTTGTTGGGAGATTGTGAGGCGGCAACAGAGTGAGAGAAGGAAAAGGCGATTATCCATTCAACCGTCAAGGGATCAATCAGTAAATCATCTAATAAATCGATCTGAAAGTGAAAGAGAGGGGTTGAGGTCCTCCCATAGTGCTGCTACTACGTACTCCTACTAGGGGACTAAGGGACTACTTTCGTACTAATCCCTAATCTCATAACATAATGCCATGAACCTGGCATAATTTCACACTTCTGCCCGTCAAGCCCAAGCCCAGAAGTTAATCGCGACAAAATGCCTCCAAACGGGTAAAGGTCATGCAAGCAAGCGCAGCCCACTTCTTGGTTGCACAGAGCAGAAGAAGAAGGAGAAGAAGAAGCGACCAGGATGAGGCAGAAGGACAGGGATTCCTGCAGATGGCCGTTCAAACTACTGGCTGAGAGACAACCACGCAGGCAGGGTGGCGTACGAGCATCCAGTCGATCAAGTCCGCTCGTCTTCTCTTAACACACACACACACACACACACACACAGGCAGACAGACAGACAGACAGACAGATACACACAGACACCCACACCCACACCCACTCACACTCACACACATACATCCACACCCCCGTCACTTGTCGACTTTTTCGGTCGGTAGGGGGAAGCTCAAGAGCAAAGACACCCTAGTTTGGTGACTAACTAGCTTCGGTCTAAAATTCTGTCAGTTGTCTTCAGATTCCCGACCGGTTACGTCCAGAATACTCTAATCCCGGTCCTGCCTACCTGCTTGCATACAGACAGACAGCTTTTCCAGTAGGTACGGACGGACCTACATGGATAGCTGGTACGGAGCAGCCCGCAGCTCCATCGCCAGATCATGCGCTTTTACTGTTTTCGGCTGAGTCTGGCCGCTCTCTTCATTTGTATCGCCCTACTTACTGTAGCTTCTTGAAAGGATTCATACTTACTGTACAGTTAGTAGGTAAGTACTGTCAGTCTATCGCCAATGGAACTAACTCCTCTCTTCCCCCCTTCCCTTCTTTCCCCCAACCATTATTATTCAATAAAGGGGGAGAGCAAGGAAGAAATTGGAAGAGGGAATATAAGAAAAAGAAAAAATGAAAAAGAAACCAGCATCTTTCTCTTCTACCGCTTCTAGGAGTTGTCCCAGTCGGAATGAAAATTCAACCTCCCTTTCTTCTTGCTTTTTGCGTTCATTTTTTTTTTTTCTCAATCAATAGCAGGTGGCGGAAAGACTCTTCGTCTCACCCGATGAGGCGGCTCGTTGGATACATCAGACCAGCAGAGTCGGTCAAGCGCCCAACCCCGGGTAATCGACCACGACCCTGGCCAGTCTGCCCCGACCTCATTCCTCCTAAACTAATTCTCCGCTGAGGATGAATGGGTGTTCCCCGCCGATGCATGGGACTGGGGTTGTCATTGGTGGAATGCTGGCGTTTCACGAGCCAACTTTAGCCTGGGCTACGACTAGTATAGTCGTGCTGCCAGGTATTGGGCTCGTCGTCAATGTGAGGGATCTGGAGTTGATTTCCAGATTTGTCCGGGTTTAGACTATCATACACAGGTCTGGTGGCTCATTGGAACCTAATCGAGCTACGTCAGGATGGATGAATAGACAGGAAAGCGCCCATGATAACTGGCAACAGTCCATACACACCATTTACCCGTCTCTCCAGCATATTTTTGGAGAAGAGTAGGTAGGTATGGACTAATCTATCTATCTATCTATCTATCTGTCTCAGATCGGCGTAACCTTCGTTCTGAGGGAGGTTGGTGCAGAGCTTCTATGGAGTCACGATGGAGTATCCTGATCCATCACCACCCAGGGAAGTGGGCTCTTCCCGCACGATGATTATGGGTACCCTGATGTACATCATCTATCTAGCTCCAAGAATGGAGCCGGTGAGGCATTGACCAAGTTCCTGACTCCAGCGTTACAGTAATTTTTCTTGATTATCGCTCGACTCTCGCGGTTGACTAACTGACCCCTGGTCGTTTCAAGCCGGGATCGCGAACAATCCGGTGTAATTGGATTCACGGTCATGAAGTGCACAGGATCTTTTTTTTTGGGCGCAAGGGCATGAACTCAACAGCCAAAAAGGACAGCCCTCCAGGCCTCACCGCTGGTTCATCGTTTCTTTTCCGGCGAGTAGAGGGAGCAAGAGGGAGGGGGAAGGGCGACTGTCATTTGACTGACAAGCCCTATCATTCCAGCTGTTCATGCTCGGCTGACGGAGGAGGGGGGCGCAGACGATAGGCCCGGGAACCTTCTTCCTGCGGGCCTGCAGCAACTCTCCCTCGCGACCCCTTGCGTGAGGTGGAGGAGACTAGCGATCTTGGTCCACGACACTTCTCTGTCCCACTTTTGGGAGGCCCAAACTCCCCTTCACTCACACTCTCTCACACACCCGCCCCCCACTGATTTGGATTGGACTGGACTGGACTGAACTAGACTAGACTATGGATTACTCTTTCAGTATCAGAGGTACGGGAGGAGAAAAAAAAAAGGTGAGAAAGTAGAAGCTTCCCATTGTTGGAGACAAGGCCTTGTCTGCCTTCTTTCTTTTTCTGTCGCTCATCTCCCCCGGCCCGAGGAGAGTATTACGAGTACTACAACTTTACTTTACACCAAGCCTACTTACTATCTCCTAGTAAGGTGTTACGGTGAGAAACTACGGGGAGGTGGGAAACATTTTTTTTTTGTTGACAGGTTGGGGTGTCCCGGATCGAGTAGGACGGCCGATGAGGGGATTCTGGGTTTCATTTTGTTGGACAAGTCGCTTTTTATTTCCGACCGTTAAGCGCGTCTAGTTCAGGACTACTCCTGTGTAGCCATCCGTTGATGGTTGTCCATTCATCATCCATGGTATGGACATTGGAGATGGATGTTTTGACTAGTTTGGATCCAGGATTGAACAGCGTATCCAGAAACATCCAATGATGAGCTAGCTACCTGGTAGTGTGTGTGTGTGTGTGCCATGAATGTCAGGCATGACAGGGTGCAGCAAGCAAGCAACCTTGAAACCTGGGGAGCTTGCTTCTTTCCCTTCCGGCCTTTGCCTCTTAGCTCTTGCGCCATACAAGATTGATGAGAATTTGGAAGGTCTGACTGACTGACTGACTGACTGACTGACCGACTGCTGCTACCAAGCAGCGCCCCCCGCCTGTCATGTCCCTGCCACATGTCCAACCGACCGACAGTGTTGAGAAGCACGACTACTGTAAGTTGAATATGCAAATGTATTGGCTGTTGAAGGTAAGACCGAATGCATATCTATCTGGCATTCAACACTCTCACAAGCACCATGCACCAGGCGGTCTGTGTTGAACGCCATCAAACCCCCCCCCCAAGACTAGTCATCTGGTGGGTGTGTCAGTGCGATAGTTATCCACACCTGGTTGACATTTCCGTGAGTGAGTAACTACACAATGTGAAATTGATAGAAGTACATTAGCGTCACTACGGACAAGACGAGCAACACTGTCCCTCCGAGCTTGTGCCGGGGACGTCAATGATCGACCAGGTTGAATGACCGTCGGAGTTAGTCTCAATGTGCTACCAGCCGGGGATCGCTCAGGGCCGTGCAGTCTAAGATGAGGATCAACCCAGTCTTTTACTCTTTTATGTTTACCTGGTAATTTTGAAATGCTTTTCTTCTTAACAAGTTCACTTTGCTTTGCTTTTCTTCCCTCTTTTTCTGTCCATTTCTCAATTTTATTTTCTGATTTCTTTAGTCTAATTTAGTTTTTCCTGTGTATCCTCTCTTTCTGACCGGAAAATAGGAAACTAAGACCGGCTCATCCACCCCATGTGCACATCATTAGGGGGCCCAGAGAGAGAGAGAGAGTGTGTGTGTGTGTGTGTGTTTGTGTGTGTGTGTGTGTGTGTGTGATCCTTCAGAGCCAGACACAAGGCCATATTGCTGGATCTATCTAGTCATTCTTGGAAGTCCGCTACCGACGGCCCGACACCCGCAGCCGTCGTACATACAGCAGATCTTGCGGGGCTGTAGCTCATCCTGACGGAGTATACAGCAGGGTAGACGGCAAAGATGGTTGGCCCCGACGGAGTTATTCACCTTGAGTTGAATATGGCTAGGGACATGTATCCAATCGGGAGGTCATTCAAACTTGCACCGCAGCTATCGCCGACCAGCGCCATCCTGCTACAACGCAGCCCTGGGCATCCTGGGCAAACCTTTTGCTTGGAGCAGGAACCCAGTGGCGCTAGCCCTGGCGCTGCAGAGCATGCAGAGTCCTACGCCCATAGGTACTTCCGTGCCATAGCATCCTGGCTAGTGTTGTTTCTCCTCTCCAAATTCGCGGACAGTCAGACTGGACTAGACTAAACTTGAGAGACGCTACTACACTAACTAGACTACTACTGCTGCTGCTAATCCACTCTACAAAGTACTCAAACCAGCACGCTATGTTGTTCTCTTTCCCTGGACTGGAAATTCCCAAATGGCCCGAGTATGCCAATTGACAAATAACAAGTCGTGGAATCTCCACCTCACAGGAGTTGGCCTAGAGTTGGCGCCGGAGTGAACCGCGGAGAGAGCAGAGCTCAGGATTTCAACGAGTTGAAGGGCCCGTCCGGGTCACGCTAGACTCAACAGCGTAAATGCACGGAGATCAACTCGATCCGTCTTGTCTTTCGCTTCCCCTCTTTTTTTGCCTCTCTCTCTCTATCATCCTCTGTCTTTCCTTTAATTAATCTATCGACAATTCGACACATCCCCGTCATTACGTGGTACCATTATTTTTCCTACCAATTGTAATCATGTGTATGTTTCGTCGGAGCAGTGTGAGCCTCGGACGAGACTTGTCCATGAACCAACCCCTCCACTCTACTTGATGGATTGATTTGATTGATTGATCATGGGAGAGACAATTAAATCCAAAAGCAGGATAGGAATTACTCCGGTCCTGACTGTGGGGCCCGCCTTCTCTTGTACCGCCAATGCGTGGATAACCTCCTCTCGGGTCGCTTATGACTGAGATCGCTATCGGTCCGGTGCTCGACGGACGGCCTTGGACTTTGCCTACTAACCAACCGTCTCTCTCTGTTCCCCTCTCTTTCCCCTCAGTGTCTCATTTCCACTCTCCAGTGCTATGAGACCCCGTCTAGACTACTAGCGACTACTCACCTGTCAGGTTTCCGGCGGTACCTGCAGCTGCCATGCACGCCCCAAGGAAGGACCGCTTCCCAAGTCACTGCCCCGGCGAACTGCTTCATTCTTCAGCAGTCGATAACCTGCAGCCGCCATGATGGTAGTACCGAGGCAGCGTGCACTGGGCATGGTGCAGATGTTAGTAAGGTAGCCGGTCTGTCGCCTTACTACTTGCACCTTAGCAGGGCGCTAATTTTGCTCCGATGGTGGTCAACAGACACTAAAGCAGACTCCTCCACTCCCTTCAGTGTTTTTTTTTTTTTTTTTCTTCTCTGCCTCAGCACGCCGTACTATCTAAAAATACTAACTATTGCGCCCCCCTGATGACCCCTGTTCTTACTTAGGATCTAGTTGTCTAGCTGCTCACGCGGATGCTGAATCTCCGGATAATGGACGAGGATTACATTGCGCCCCCCCGGTCCCCCCCTGCTGTGCAACGTTGGCCACGGGAATAACCGGTCGAGGACAATTCTAAGGCTAGTGAGTAGCTTGACGCCCCCCGAACAAAAGGAGATAAATCTACGGGAAGGGGGTATTTGCCATTCTAGAAGACAATTACACATTTGGCAATAGGCAAATAAGTCCGTGCTGATCGATTTCTACTTCTCCGGCCGGAATGTGATATGGCCCCCAACTCCCGGGTCTTGTGCAACCGTCAGCACGAGCGATGTCAACGCATCCATCTATCCATGCCTCTCTGGTCGATGATGACCGGTCTCCCAACTAGGGAAAGGAAATCCGCGCCTCGATTGGCTGTGTCCCCCTCAACTGTTCAGCGACGACCCTAAAAAACCACACTAAATCAGCTTCAAACCACCCCGGTCGTCTCTCCAGCACGCCAACCACAGCCGAATTCAACCCGAGCCCGTCGCTTTCCTCCGGACAGATTCGGGCGGAGTCGATTGGGCGGGCGCGTGCGGAGGGGAAATTCGACGTGAAATAACTGTCTCCAGCACGGCGGCCACCACCGCTAGTTGGTTTCCCCATCCCATCCTTCTCTCCTTTTCCGGAGCATTATTGGTGCCGTAAGAAAGGGCCAGGAATGAGTTTAGAGGCATCTCATCTCACGATAGCGAGAGGGGACGGATAGTGGGCAGAGGGCAACGTGAGTGGTCAGGACTGCTGCACGCAGTAATTAACCTTACATTGCATGTTCCGTTGTTACCCGTGCACGATCGACTGCGCAGGTGGATAGCCAGTGCACTAAGCTTTGAACGATCCTACTCACTCCCCTCTGGACATCTACGGGTGTGGATTACTTTCATCTATTCCTCCTCCTTTTTCGCGATGACCTATTTGAAAAGGGCTGCTGCCTAGACAGGGACTTTGGCGGTCAAGATAACGCTGACGGATTGCTGCAACCTTAAGAATCCGGATAGTGTTTCGGTGGAATAAGGCGACCGGCCAGTGAAGAATCGGATTGTTGGTGGCTGATGTCACGATTCAGAGTCTCCATTTTCAAAGAAGGAAAAGTGACCGGAAAGAGAAGAGAATATCATCGTAGTATGGCAATAGTGGGGTTTCCTTTTCTTTTTCCTTTATTTTCCCTTCTATTCCTGAATTATTATTCTACTTTCCTAATACGGGGCATTCAGTGAACAATTCCATAAGTAGATGACCTACCAGATCGGGGAACCCGGGCTTTGCAGGACGATGAGATGGATGGATGGAATACAGTAAAACCGGCAACACAAGGAAATTGGAGGGAAGGATGGAAGACCAAACGGGCCACGATGATCAGCGCCAAGCGACACGGACCCTCGTCGCCCGATTGTCTGAGGCGAGATTCTCGACTTGAGGGATTGTGCTGGTCATGATTGGGTAGTGAAGCTGGTTAGTGGGTGAGTAGTTGGTGAGGAGGTGGGAAGACGTGGGAGGGGAAGGAGAGAGGCGGGGGGGGGGGCGCAACGACTGGCGGTGGAGGCGACCACGTATCTTTGCACATCCAGATTAATCTGGCAAAAAGTGAGTTGGCAAAAAGAATAATGAACGTGATGATGGCAGAAACGGGAATTGAACTCACACTCTCCCACACACGGCAGACCAGGCAGGTAGGCAGACAGACAGACAGACAGACCGCTAACTACTAACTAGTAATGAAAGTACCACTACTTAGACTATCCTTGCGTTGGGATGGCGTTGTTTGGTTTCAGCTGCAACAACCCGTGATGCATACATACATAGTTACATATATTATCATTTGCCAGTTATATCTGCCTATGGTACTAGTGATAGGATACATAAGGTAGGAATAGATATACAAATGATATAACGTATGTACATAAATGATGAGGAGTCTGTCGATCGCTGCACGAGTGAAAAATAGATAGTAACCCCAACCACCATCAAGTCAAGTAGGGTTTGGACTTAAGTAGTAAGTAGGTTCATGAAAGGTTTCCTAATATAGTAGTGCAGAGTGCAGCAGCAGCAGCAGCAGCAACAACAACAACGTACATACATATATCCAGAAAATACAGATAGAGATACATACATAACATTGAACTGAAAATCGATGACGATGATGACGGTGACCCTACATCAGCTGACAGATGATATGTACGATAGTTTATTACTTGGATACAATCCCTTTTTTTTTTTTTTTATCGAGTCAGTCATTATGTTGGTTAACGTTTATCCCTTGATTCATTCCATTAGCCACTCAATCACTCACTCACACTCTTTACCGTTATTTTATTTCTTCTTATAGCTTTTGAGTTCAATCCTCCCCCCCTCCCTTTTTCCTTAATCCAGTATTCCCTATTACTACTTGCATACATCCACATATACATACATACATACATATACTCATACATGATCCTACCTACTTGAAATAAGAATGCTGGGCAACACAGAGGGCTAGAACAAGGCTACACAAACCCGTGCAGGATGCATCATCCCAACTTATTATTTTCCCACTTTTTTTGTGTAATATTATCCTTGGTTGGGTTAGTCGTCAGCCAGCCAGCCAGCTAGCCAGCCACGATGAGCTCATTTATCTTTTCTCTCATTTCTTCACCGTCTTTCCGTGGAGGGAGGGGGGGGGAAAGAGGAGGTTGGAATGTGAGTGAGGTGGTACGATCTATGATCTATGATCTACTAGCTCTGATGATATTGTGCGAGGGGCTTGTTGCAATTATTCTATCCTTTTTCAAATTATACTTATTGATATAATGGTGTGAATAGTTCTACTTATGTATAGTGTAGTGTATGCATAGCATAACTACTGTATGTCAAGTATGTGCTTATGTAGGATTTACGTACACTAAAGTGTGGTAGATTTAGTACATTCAAGTTATGTGTGCAATTGAAGCATATGGAATTACTACCATACCACGGATGGATCATGCTATGTCAGGCAAAGCGAGGTGAGGTGAGCTAAATTAACTTAATTCTTGTAGTGGTGTAGTTGCTTTGTTGTTGTTGCTGGTAGTGACACTACTTACTACTATCTATAATATATCTCTACTGTTAGCAATAGTACTACGTAGTAGTAGATATTGTTGTTGTAGAATAGTGTTCTCCCACAGTGGTTATATATACATATAATGTACTAGTTATAGTAGAATTAGTGTTTAGTATCACTGCAATAATGGTGATAACAATCTACAACTACCACCAACCATGCCATAAACCCCCAATTAACTACTACTACTTTTAACTAAAACCCACCTCATCCAAATAGAGCCCTTTACATACTCACCAAAAATAATACCACATCAAAATACTCAGCAACACCCCCAACGAGCCTTCATCCATCCCATTCAATCGATAAGATAAAACTCACCCGATAACCAACATCACATGACCGATAAGAAACTCTGGTATCCCCTCCAACCACTAAACAAAAACACACACCAACAATAACTTCACACTTCCCTCACAACTCTCTCCACAGAAGATACACTACTCTGCAATGCCACCTCCCTCCAAACCTCCCCCCCTCCCTACAAACCACCTCAACTTCGATACCTGGAACTCCTCCTCAACAGGCCACCAAATCGCCGACCCCGGATCCTCCCGCGGAAATACCTCATGGCGCGAGACCCGACGAGAGAAACTCACCAGACAGTTCGGGGCGGGCAGGGGGGATTGTACATATGACAGTGATGGGGAGAAGAAAGGGGAGTGGGTTGTGACCCAGATACCTGCAGAATTGCAGAAGAAGAAGGAGAATGGAAGAAGAAATCAGCAGCAGAGGGATATACGGAGTATGTTTGGGATGTCGAAACCGATTCCTCATTCTACTACTACTACTACTACTACTTCTGTTGTATCTTTTTTCAAGCAGGGGTGTGAGATATCGTCATCATCATCATTGAAGAGAGATGCTACGTCATTGGATAATCTTGAACAGGAGAAGACGAAGAAGAGGATAAGAATTGATCATCAAGACAATAATGGGAATAAAATAACAGACACAAACACAGACACAGAATCAATATCAAGGAGAGAAAATAATGCATCTACATCTACATCTACATCTACATCTACCATCTTCTCCTCCCTAACCATCCACATAAACGGCCAAACAACACCCACCGTCTCAGATCACAAACTCAAACATCTTCTCATCTCGCACGGCGCAAATCTCTCGCTTCATATGCATCGTGGAGTTACGCATGTTATTCTGGGGGAACCTAATACTCCTTCTTCTTCTTCTTCTTCAATAAATCCGGGAATAAAGGTAGCAGGGGCAGGGGGTGGGTTAGCAGCTGGAAAGTTACAAAAGGAGATACAGAGGGGTGGGTGGAAGGGGGTTAAGTTGGTGAGGGTTCAGTGGTATGTCCTTCTTTTCCCTCTTTCTTTCTTTCTCTCTCTCTTTTTTTTTTTTTTTTTTTTTTTTTTTTTTTTTTTTTTATCTTACACGGGTTGTTGAATGGGATGTGCTAATTGTTGCAGGGCTATGGATAGTATTGCAGCAGGGAAACGTCTCTCCGAGGTGAAATATGCTGTTCAGTTGAGAACGAACCAGAGGAGTGTGCTTGCATTTACGTCGTCTACATCAAATACCATTTCATCACTTTCATAACATTATCTATCTAATCATACTATATACATTAATAACATCCTGTTCATATCATATCTTCGTATCTCATATCATACATCCCAAAATATGTCCAATCAATATCGTTAGATGAATGCTCCTCGTCTCCCTGGCAGTTGCACACTGCCTCCACTACTCGCCGATCCATGTCTGCGCCAGCCCATACTCCGTCCGCTCGACGACAGCGTCCCCGCGCTACTATGCGATCCGCGCCGGCCCATATCCACTGGTGCATACGGATCTTCGAGCGGCTCTTCGTCCGGGAGCGGTGGAAGCGGGTTGACGCGCAGCCGGGCGGGGTATAGCTCCGGCGAATGCATTATCCCGGAAGGCAATCGGCCGGGTCCGTCGTCGAGTGTACTATCGAGTGAGTCGAATCGGTCGAGCTTCTCGTCCACATCGTCGTCCGGTGCTGTCTCGCCGCGGGAGTCGCCGCGCACGAGGCCGAGGCGTTCTTCTTCGGTGACGGACTGCGCCCGGTGGCGAGGCGGTCGGGGAGGAATGCTGCTTCGCGATGCAGTTGCTTCATGGCCTGTTTTCATGCGGTGGAGCATGGTGTTGAATGAGAATTGGCGTCGAGCGCCGCCGTGGGGTGGCGGGGAGGGGGCCCCGCGCTCTTCTCCCCATGGCGTGTGGCTGCGCGAGTCGTCTGCGATGGACTGCGGGTAGCGGGTGTCGGGATGCGGCTTGTGTACAGACAAAGCTGTCATGTTAACAGGGTCCGGCGTGGTATGCTCATCTTGAATGGGTTGCCAGGCGGGATGGAAGAGGCTTGAGGCGCGGGATCGCAGGTCGTCGAGGAAGGAATGGCTGCTCTGCTTCGTGTCGGGTCGCTCGGGCTCGTCTGGTCGCTCTTCCGGTACGTGCGACATGCCCAGTGGCGGAACGGGATACTTGACCGAGGGGTTGCGAAGGGTTCGCGTGCGCCCCAGGGTGGTTGGACCTTCGCCGAGGACGGTCTTGCGCCGGCGCAACCCGTCCCATTCGATCACCTCATTCTCCGCTGGGGGCTTCATGTCCTCCGCGCGGTCGTGGAAGTAGCGCCGGGCTTCCTCAGCTTCCATCTGGCGACGTGGGGTAGAGAGGCGACGGATGATGGCGGCGGTGGCGCGAATGGAGTCGGCCTTGGGCTCGAATTCAGGCTCTTCTTGCGTGGCCACCTCGCGCACCTGGTCGAGATCTCCCTTGAAGACAGCGGCATCGGGAACGTCTTTGGCGGACTTGGACAGCTGCAGCAGCACGACACCGGCGCAAATCTGCAGAAAGCCTAGGATGACCGTGACGATGGAGGAGACGGAGCCCTTGAAGCCGCGGAACAGCACGGCGGAGGTGACAATGGTGGAACTGGTGAAGAAGACATAGTAGGTGGGGGTGACCAGCGCAGCGTTGAAGATGTTGAGGGCTTTCTGCTAGGCATTAGTATGACCGACCCAAATAAATCTCGGAAATCAAAAAACAAGAAGGGTAGGGGGAGGAACGCACATTGAGATAGATAATCTCAGTCAACAGCGTCGTAATAACAAACACCAGCAAGACATACATAAACCACTGGTTAAATTGTGCCTCGCCATTTATCTGAGCCAGAATAGCGGACCCCAGACCCTGCGTTGCCACGACACTCAATCCCCCAATCAACGAGCAAATGCTGATATACACAAACATGCTCTTCTTGCCATATTTAGGCCCCAACCAAACCGCTGTGACGATACACCCCACAATAATCACCCCAGCATAGGACAAAAACCCCGGAGCAATGACATAGCTCTTCATTTCCTGGATATCACTCACCGACGACTGCTCCGGCGCATTCAACGCAATAACCACACTGCCCAAGATGCAGCAAAAACAGCCTACTTTCCCAACAAAACTCAGCCTCTCCTTCAGGAAGATCGCCGACAAAATGGTGGTCACCACGACCGTCAGTGCGCCCAGCGGCGTCACGAGGATAGCGTCGACAAAAGCATAGGCAACAAAGTTGCACAGCTCCCCGATGATCATCAGGGTCATGCCACCCCACCAGAAGAGGTTCTTCAGGTATCCGTACCCTTCGCCGGCCTCTTCATTGTACTTGACGTTGGCGCGGAGGAGACCTTTCTTCTTGAGTACGAAGGAGACACCGATGAAGAAGCCCGAGGCAATGGCGAGAGAGATACCGATGGCTTTGTAGGAGGCTGGACGGGAGGAACTGTCGGCGCGGGCGGCGAGGAGGTTCACAGGATGTAGTGGATTATCGGAGTCCATGATGGGTAGCTCGGCTGCATCGGGGACACTGCCTGCAGTGTCTTGAATCTTACTCACTCACACTCTCACTCGCTCGTGTCGATGCCGTGATGACAGGTGGGAGAGAGGAAGAAGGTGTCGTATGTGAGATCGGGCGCGAAAGGATAATAGGGGGGAGGAGCGATAAGCGAGAGTGAGATATAATTAGTCGGGGCCTGGCGCTAGACAGCCATGGATGAATGGTTGAGGCGCTGCAGGGGCGAAATAGATAGACTGTTGATTGATGGGGATTGGACTGCTATTCCACGAGGTCAGACTGACAGCGGATCGAGGAATGCAAAATAGCCGTGCGATCGACAGGTCCGGTGGGATCGGAATGTGCCAGATCGATACTGATCGAGATCTGATGCTGTGAGGGAGTGAGGGGAAGGTATGTAAACTAATCTTAGTAGAAAACAAGGGGAAGAGAAAGTACAGAAAAGCAAGACAGCAGGGGGGGTGGGGGGGGAAAGAAGAATGGCTTGCGTAAGATGAACAGTTTGTTTGTTGCAGAGAAAAGCGAGGCTGGGAAAACTGGTCAATCGTTGGTTGATCCGGCGCCAGCTGGGCGGCGCAGCACATCCCGATCCACGGTTCGTCGCAATGCTTCTTCTCGTTTCAATTTACCTATCCTTCTAGAACATTTTACACTATTTCTATCTACGTACACTGTCCAGCCGTCTCAACAATAATATTCATTCATTAACAGGTCATTAGGGTATCCATCAGATCATAACTGGAAATCGCCCGCTTTCCTCGCAGGATTCTCGCAGACGCCTCCCTCATACACCATAGAAATAGACTCATCATCAGAAATCAAAAAAAAAAAAGAAGAAAAGTATAAAATAGATACAGGAAGGTGTTGGTATCATCACCGCACATGGTAACTCGGCTTCCGCTGCTTGTTTACCACCGGTGGCTCGTCCACTGGATACGGCGGTCGAAGTTTCCCACTCAAACTTCCACTGTGACTGTGTCCCGGGCTGGTCGTTGTCGGCATCGGCATCGGAATACCTCCCAGTTCACTGGGATATTCAGAAGGATAAGGAATCGGTGTCTTGGGAGGCACCGGCGGAGGCATCCCATCATGGCCATGCCCGGTGCTGGGTCGAGAGGACCCGTGCGTCCGCGAGCTAGGCCGACTGACCTCGCCAGCCCCCGGACTGGCCAGGTCGCCTGATGTCCGCCCTGGTGATGGCAGAACAGTATCCTGTGGCGTGGGGTGCGCCGGCAGCGAGTCCTCTGTTGTGATATAAGGCACAAAGTCACCCGGCAGCTCAGCTGGTAGCTCCACGGCCATCGGGTGCGATGGCGGCGGCACCGACAGCACTGGACTGTGCATGATAGACGAGGTCCCATCATCGACCTGACCCGCCGCGGCATGGTCAGCCAGCCGGCGATGTTGGCGCTCAATTTTGGCGAACTTGACACCCGCATCCAGGATCTGGTGCTTCACCTCCGGTCGCGTCAGGTAACGCCGTGTGTTGGTGCTGATGTCTGCCAGCCGGTTCCATTCATTCATGCCAAACTCGCCCACGCCCACCTCGACGTTCAGCCGGTAGTAGTTGTCCTTGCTTACATTGCGCTTAGCTAGATGGTCGCGCAGCATCGCCAAATGAATATCCTCGCAACCCTCGATCTTGGCGATCAGGCGTCGACGGGCTTCTGCGAATGTGCCCAGGGCATCCCCAAAGAAGTCCTCCCACCACTCGTGTTGCCGATTGTTGGTGCCTGGTGGGCGCTTGCCAGTGCCCACGCTGACAAACACCCCGATTTCGCGACCGGGCCACTCATTCATAACCGCTTCGTCCAATGCCTGCGGCGAGGGATTGTAGGTACCGGCACCCTCGTCGATGAAGACGTGCTGTCCAATCTGAATGGGCTTGAATGCTAGCCCGGTGGCCGACGTGGCACGACCAGCCTGCCAGACAGTGCAGTTGAATTCGGGTGGGGGTTCTTTGCGCGAATCGTAGGACCGGAGGAGGACGGTCGAGCCGTTCCGGGACGTGGTACCTTTGTAGAGTGCAGTCACAGCACTAATCAGTCAGCACATAGTCACAAAGAAAAGGAGGCAAGCAATAAAAAGTTTAACAACGGAAAGAATAAACATACGTTTTCGTCCGATACTCCCGGTTATCATACAACAGCGCATCCGGATTCCCCCAGCGCAAACCGTTCACAAATGTCGAATTGCGCTGACTAGCATGACCCGACGAATGAGAACCAGTAGTACTGAAGCTAGCCCGACTGCCCGAGCGCTGGGGCACCGACATGGAGTTGGGACTAAAAGGGGCACTGGCGAGCGAATTGCGCGCCGACGGGCTCAAATCGTTCCCTTCCGCTTCGAAGACGGTATGTTCGCGGACGCATTCGCGGATGGCTTCTTCCAGCTTGGAAGCCTTGAACAGTGTTTTATGGAACGGAATCCCGGCGAATGTCTTGTCGGTTTCGAACACACGGCGGGTCATGCGGACATAGACATCTTTGCAGGTCTCGAGATCCAGGCGTAGCCGGCCCAGCATGAGGGCGATTAGGCCACCGGTTCCGGTGCCAACGATGAGGTCAAAGTGGTCACAGGGTTTGGGGATTTCATCGCGACGAGGAGCTTTGCCTTCGCATTCAACGTAGACGCGGTACATGAGTTCTTGGAGGATGATAAGCATGGAGTAACCACGGACGCCGCCGCCATCTGCCATTCACGTGTTAGGTTAGTGGGGTTTTCTTTATGCGCATCTAGAACAGATACTTACCAAGCGACAGGATCCGCAAAGGCGGACCCTTGGTGGTATCCTTGCGGCGGAGGTTGACGGAGTAATCCATGACCCCGCCGGGCGAGACGGATGAGGATGGATCGATGGGCTGATAGATGATAAAGGCGAGGTGTTGTGAAGAGGTGCTATCGAGATTGATATGACCGGGATATGAAGATACTTGAGATGGTGTGAGAAAAGAAGCGCCCGACAAAGTAGTAAGTAGTGGTAGCACGAAGGCAAGAAGATCTTTTGGCCTTTTGCGGGATGAAGAGAGAAACTGCGGGAAATGCAGGTGAGCGCTGCGCCACGGTCGGGCCCACGATGACATAAGGAAGCCCGCGTAGGGCAGTAATCGTGCATGTTCATTGGCTGCAAGTGGAACAAGCTGTGGCGGTGTTCCCACCAGGGCGGTGCCGGTTTCCCGTTTGGGCCGTAAGTTCGTATTCAATTCGGCCTTTTACCGATGCCGAATTACCCTTTCAGGCACCACTGTTTTCTCTTCTTGCATGATATCATGACAAAGACTGCAGATACCCTCACTTTCTTTGAGTTGTTTGTTCTATCACACCGTAATTTGTTGGTGTTACTAGCTGTATCACACCGACAATGCAATGCATCAATCCTCGCCATATCAACTTAGTACTGGAATAGGTAACCAGCTCTACACAGCCCGAAATAGAAGCACAGCACCATCCAGTCTCAGTACATCCATGGATCAATAAAGTCACATTCCCAACCCAAAGTTGACTTCCTCCCACTCCACTCCTCTTTATCTCTTCTACAGTGCTGGAGTGGTAGGCTTAACCTCTCCAATAAGTAAATCCCTCACCAACTTCAATCCCTCCCCGGCAAAAAGCACCATGTTCTTTTCTCTTTCCGCGGTTCCCGTCTCCACCTCCCTTGTCACCGTTCCAGACGGCGTCGATACTGCGAGCGCCACATACCCACTGCATAACTACGTATCAGCACACTTTGCATCATCTTATACGACGACCCTTTCTCCGATATAAAGAGAAAATATAATAGTAGAGATCGGTTTACTCACGGGGTCCGATTCCTGCTCGTCCCACCTGTCGGTCCTGCCGTGCCACTCTCACAAACGGTATATGTAGATTTCAGTGTGCCGCGCACATTTTCCGCGATCCCCGCCACTATTTCTGGGGTCGGGCCACTGTAGTTCTCTAGATGCTGGGGGGTCCAGCCGGTGTAGGTAATGCGGGAGTCGAGGGTGTATACCTAATCCTGTTAGCCATGGGGAGGTGACGTGCCCAGCGAAAGGTAAGTACCGTCAGCCCGCCTTTGTAGATGCTGGATGCGCCTGGGGCTGAGAGGAGACAGGCAGAAATGAGGCCTCCAGATGCCTATATAATTGATAGCCTTGGTCAGTTGTGAAGGGACCACGGTGGGGTAAGCGGAGGGAGGGGTACGGTTTCAGCGACGGAAATGGTCTCTTTGCGGGTGCGGAGGAGGTGGAAGACTTCTTCGATAAGGGGGCGGAGACTTGACGGAGGGAATTCAGACATGGCGGTGTTACCGAATCGGACAGACTGTAGGGGGCAGGTAGTGGTTCACGTTGAAGGTTGATAGGGGGAGAAGCAGAAGTGGTGAGGAGTAAATGATCTAGTAGTCGGTACGTCATCGCCAATCAGATTCTATTGCTAAGAAATATCAATAGTATCCTACATCTATATATCTACCTTGTTTAATGTCCATCAGTTAGTCAGTCCCGGCCAATCTGTACTTATCAGTCACAAAAGAACTCTCAGATGGTAGAACAGTAGCACACTCACCATATACCGTCCGTTCCTTAACCCTCCTTGCTACCACCACCGCATCTCCAACCCGCACCGTCCGGCCATCCGACCCTCCATCCAAAAACCCATATCGACCAAACACTGGACTGAATTTGGCGCCCTTATCGACTCGGCGATCCTTCATCAACTTCTTTAGCACAGTCCCTGACTCGCCCGTACCCATCTTCCCCGTTGTATAATCAACATTAAGACTCTGACACCGTATACAATTGGCCGTGAGCAATAGCTTCGCCGAACCAGGCTCTCCAATCTGCACTTCAGCCCAGAAGTCCTCCTCAAAGGCCGTCTCTGCGCCAGATATGACAATGTTCGGCCGGGCCTTGGTAACATCCATTTCCTCCTTGCCAGCTAACCGTGCAGAGACATCCTCGACTGAAGTGCGCGACACAATCAGATATGGCGCCGTATCAGCAAAAGTAATCTGCTCTTCCTTCTTATTCTGGCGTCCAGCCCCATACCAAACCACAGCTCCTGCTGCCCCTGTTGCTCCTATACTCCCCAGTATTCCCATACTCATACCTACCCAAGACAACAAAATCATCACACCCACCAGCCCTGTTCCTAGACCTAGCACCCCGTCCCTCCTCCACCACCACCCCTGTATGCCTCTATGCGCCGCACTCTTCTCCGGCGCAAAACTTCCCAAAACACCTCTATAATTCCCGCCCAAATAGACAAGCACCACCCGATATCCAAAACACTCACTAAACCACCCGTTATACTCCTCTTCCATGATATAGCCCTTTGTCGGACTCTGGTGCATGACGACTTCTACTTCCTTCAACCCCGCCGTATCGGGTACCAGCGGTACCTCCAACTTCCGCTGGGATTGGGATTGATCAGCAGTAGGAGGAGAACGATAAGTAATCACTATCCTGCTGGACCCAGACCCTGTTGCTTTCTTGCCATCATCACTGTGAATGATATCGGTGTAGAATAGCGACATTTCCGGGAAATGAGGCACATGCATATTCTTGTATTCGCCATTGGGAAGGACTTTGAGGAGCATATAATGGCGGTCATAGGGGAAGCCGGTTCGAGTGAAGGTTGCGCTGGAGATGGGAACGCCTTGAAGGGATTTGATGGGGTAGGTGTAGAGCTTTTGGTTTATTGTTGTTAGTTTTACTACCATTGATATTGGGATACGGGCATGGATGTGGGGGATGATGTACTTGACTGATGTGCATGGTGATTTGGTGTTAGAAGAAAGTAGTATTATAGTAGATATATGGTATATCTGAATATGTACGAATTCATACGAGAGTCAGACAGAAAGAAAGAAAGAAAGAAGGGATACAGGGTCAGGATGACTGACTGAGTGATGCATTCCGCGGGAATAATTAGCCAAAGCAAGCTAGCTCCATGCGGAGATAAGCCGGGGAATCCAGACTCGGAGGGGAAAATGACTCCAACTTGCTTGTCCTATCGGCGCTTTTTTCTTATCGGCGGGTCTCTCCTTCCCCGTCTTGCTTTTGTCTCCGCACGGGTTTCCCTTCTTCCCCGACTCTCTCCGAATTCCATTACTCCCTCTTACTTAGTAAAAGACCCCTGTTATTGATGTGTTGAACATTTTGATTTCACTGTACAGACATGCATTCGTAAATTAAACATAACCGTGATCATTTCCCCCACCTCTCCTACTCATCCTTAGCCCAAGGTAGACTAAATGTTCCCGCCCAGTCCTCCACCTCCTGCCGCAGGAGCACAATCTCCGGAATCTCCTCGCCCTCGCGCACATATTCCAAGAAAGCCTTGACGGTGTTCGGGTTCTTCACACCCTTTGCAGCCGCGCTCTCCTTGGCTGCCTTGTCCAGCTTCTGTGTGATGATCACCGCCCGGTCCACAATGTCTGCGACGCGGCGGAAGTCCTCCGGCTGGAAGCCTCGGGTCGTCATGGCCGGCGTGCCCAGACGTAGACCACCGGGCTTCAGAGCCGACTTGTCACCTGGCACCGTGTTCTTGTTGCTGGCCACACCGCACAGCTCCAGCACCCGCTCGACGCGCGCGCCGTCCACCCCGCGGTTCTTCAGGTCCACCAACACCAGGTGGTTGTCGGTGCCGCCAGAAACGATGTTGTATCCCAGACCTCCGTTGCTAAGCGGGCTGCCAAGACGGTCTGCCAGGGCCTTCGCATTGGCCAGCACTGTCTGCTGGTAGGTCTTGAACTCAGGCGACTGCGCCTGCTTCAGCGCCACAGCCAAGGCGGTGATAGTGTGGTTGTGGGGGCCACCCTGGTGACCTGGGAACACGGACGCGTTGATCGGGCCCTCCAGGTCATACATCTCCGGGTTGCCCTTCTTGTCCGTCCGGCGGACACCCTTGCGGAAGAAGATCATCGCGCCGCGGGGACCCCGCAGCGACTTGTGGGTCGTGGTAGTCACCACATCTGAGTGGGCGAAGGGCGACGGGAGGACGTCCGCAGCCACGAGACCGGAGATGTGGGCCATGTCGCTCAGCAAGTATGCGCCGGCGGCGTCTGCGATCTGGCGCATGCGAGGGTAGTCAATCAAGCGGCTGTAGGCCGAGGTACCGGCGATGATGAGCTTGGGGCGGTAGAGAAGCGCCTGCTTCTCCAGGGCGTCGTAGTCAATGAGACCGGTAGACTCATCTAGCCGGTAGGGCAGCGTTTCGAAGTACTTCGAAATGAACGAAATCTTCTTGGTGGGGGTCTGGTAGCCGTGGGACAAGTGACCGCCATGGGGCAGGTCCAGGCCCATCAAGCGGTCGTGGGTGTTGAGGATGGCGGAAATGGCGTAAAGGTTAGCGGGCGAGCCGGACAGCGCTGTGCTGGTCAGTATAGTTGTCGCACGCCAATGTCACTATAGAAGTCTCACGTTGCACGTTCACACCCCATTCTTCGGGGTTAAGGCCAAAGGTCTCGAGCGCACGCTGCTGGCATAGCCGTTCAGAGGCGTCAATGTGTTCGTTTCCACCATAGTATCTGGCGCCGGGGTATCCCTCCGAGTATTTATCTGTTGCCGCGTCAGCTTTTGCTGCTCCCAGGATCGAATGATGGATTTGACTGACTTTGCATGACACTGCCCAGCGCATCGAGGACAGCTTGTGATGTGAAGTTCTCGGAGGGGATGAGGTTGATGAAATGTTGCTGACGTTTTTTCTCCTATTCCTGGGGTGAGTGGATATACCAATTGCACTTGAAGAAGGCATTTCTACCTTCTGGAGAATGTCATAGATGGCGGGGTCGGACTCCTCTAGGGGTGCGGAGAGCAGCTGGAGACGGGTAGTTAGCGGGTATGGTACGATAAAGATATGGAATGACATCAGGCAACCCGGAAGCTGCTGCATTGCATGAATTCCGCACAATGGGAACACATACAGTCTGCTGTCCTTCACGAGTCGAGGAGGACACGCTGCGGCCTTGTCCCGGCAGGCGCAAAGGAGCAACCACCGCAGGACGAAGCTGGAGAGGGATGGCAGTTGACCGAATAGCGGAGCTTGCCGTGCGCGGGATCAGGCGCGAGGCCTGACGTCCACAGCGACTCAACATGATGCAGAATGTGTGATGTACAACGGGATCAGGTTGAGAGAGGGGAAGAGGAGGCAATGGAGAAGATAAAAGAAGAAAAGAAGAGGAGGGAACGAGGGACCCAGCGGACGAAGACGCAAGGAATGCGCGGTGATGGTATCAGCTCTCCGGCGCTGATAACGAGCTTGCCCGACTGGCCGCCAGTTGCCCGCGGGAAGCACCTGACTCTAGCCCCAATCTGGTTTAGCATCTCCGAGGGACCCGTGCGCTCGGGAGTAGTAGATAATCCGGTTCCGAGCTCGCTTGCGGGAATCCTCGCTTCCCTCCTTTCATTTTGTTTGTGTGTTTTTCTCCCTCTTCTCTTCTTCTTCTTTTCTTTTTTCCTTTCTTCATCACACAACTAAATCCAAGATGAAGAAGGGCGTTTACGCTTGGCAGTTCTCGTGGATGGTCTGGTCTCGATCAGGCTAACCCGGGCGATGCTGACATGTCCCCGCTCTCACCATCCATTAGGGACAATTTGAACCATCCGATTGGAATCGTGTTTGTGTGTGTCTTCTGAAATGATGTGATCCACAGCTATACATGGCTGATAGGTGATAAGAGATGGTTGGGACATGGGATGAAGTGTTCTTTTTTTTTTCTTTTAATTTTATAATATCTATAGTGGTTATGATAGACCGTGTATAGTTTATGTGATAGTTAGGGACTACTTCCAAACTAATGAATGCAAGTTGTCAAGAAAAACATCGATGATCACGATCTAGAACTGTTTATCCACTTAAACTATACTCCGTTCTACTAAGTACTCCGTTTCCTCGTAGCGAGGCTCCCACATTGACCTTCAGCTGCAAACTCTAGCACTGTCGAGCAGGATGATCCTGAGATTTGGCGACTTATGAATAGAAACGGGATATGGACTTATGACTGAAGGGGGCAATGATTCTCAGGAGTCATTAAACCTTAGTGAACAACACCCGGTTCCTGACCCAAAGACAATGGTAGCCACAAAAAGAAAGACGGTGAAGGGGGAAATACAGAACAAGACAGACCCAAGCAAAACTAACAGATCGAATTATGATGCCAACAGCATCCAGACCCTGAGAGAAAGGCAGTGAAGCACTCATTAATTGGTGATGTTTCACCATTGTCAGTTGCCCGCTGGGTTCCTGCAGCCCGAAATTGAACGTGGGGAACTTCCAGGTGGTAACGGTATGGTCACTAGGGGAAAGAATACCCCGGAGAAAAGGTAGAAGATAGGAGAAATAATAGAAGGCACTAATTCACTGTATGTGTATTGTTGGTAATGGCCCGACTGTGGACGGACAGCACTAGACTGGAAGGAGCGATGGTGGCTGCCCCCTCTTCGCTCCTTCCTTTTACTCTGTAATGTTATTTATATTAATATCGGGATCGGCCCGCTGGTTCGCCTCCTTTTCTCTCTCTCTTTCTCTCTCTCGTTCACTCTTTTCTTCCCTCCACTCACTCGCTGTTTCAGCTCTTCCGGTTCTTCAACCGAGTACATTCTTTTTCACGAACACAGTCAATCACTCCCAAGACTACAGTCTTTACAAACGAGAAAAGAGATCCTATCTCTCCGTCAGTCCTTCGACGTCATCTATAGATCCAATCTCTACACAAAAATCCAAACAAAGCACCTTCAATTCCACCCACATCCATCAAAATGCGTGTCGCTTCCGCTGCTGTCGTTGCCTCCCTGGCTGCCGGTGCCATTGCTACCGAGTACAAGACCGTCTATGTCACCGAGTACACCACCGTTTGCCCTAAGGCCACTTCTCTGGCCACTGGTCCTGGTGCCGGTTCTGGCTCGGGTGCCCAGACTACCCCGGTTGCTGCTCAGGTACGACATTTTCACTCTCCCTGAATTTTCCGCCTCAATCAGCATCAACTGACTTCATTCGATATAGCCTACCACCGTCACCATCTCCGGCACCCCCTACACCTACTCCACTCCCTTGGTTACCTCGACTGTGACCCACTGTGACAAGTGGTATGTTCTCGGCTCCATCCGCGAAGATCACTATCCGAATAACCTCAAACTGACTGATTTGATATCAACAGCTCCGCTACTGCCGTCCCTGCCACCTCCATCCCCGAAGGTGCCGCTGCTGTCGGTACCGGTGCCTCCCCCAGTGAGGCTCCTGGCTCTGGCTCTGGCGCTTCCCCCAGCGAGGGTGCCTCGGGCTCCGGCTCTGGTGCCTCCCCTAGCGGTGCCGCCGCTGGCTCTGGCTCCGGCTCTTCCCCCAGCGGCGCCGCTGCTGTCGGTACCGGTGCCTCCCCCAGTGGGGCCGCCTCTGGATCCGGCTCTGGATCTGGTGCTTCCCCCAGCGAGGGTGCCTCGGGCTCTGGCTCTGGCTCCTCCCCCAGCGGCGCCGCTGCTGTCGGTACCGGTGCCTCCCCCAGTGAGGCCGCCTCTGGCTCCGGCTCCGGCTCCTCACCCAGCGGTGCTGCCGCTGGTTCCGGAGCTGGTTCTCCCGGCGCTTCCGCTGGTCCCAGCGGAGCCGGTGCCATTGGAATCGGCGCCACCACCCCGGTCGTCTCTTACACCCCGGTCCCCACCCCTAGTGGTTTCCACCCCTCTTCTCGCCCTCTGATCCCTAGCAGCAAGCCCGCCTCCTCCAAGCTCGTTGCTTCCTCCAGCGCCACCCCCGCTGCCTCTAGCCCCGCCCCTGCTAGCTCTTCCAGCTCCGGCTCCAGCTCCGGCTCCTCTGCTACCTCCCCCGAGGGTGTCTCCGCCGCTGGCACTGGCTCTGGCTCTGCCACCACTCCCTCCGCCCCTGTCTTCACTGGCGCCGCTACCCGCGCCGCGGCCGGTGCTGGTGCCGGATTGGCCTCCGTCTTCGCTCTCGTCGCCTTCCTTCTGTAAATGAGTTGACTTGAGTGAGTGAGTGAGTGTGAGTGTGTGTGTGTGTGTGAATGGAATCAGATCTATAGAGGCATATAGAAGGTCCTTTTGACTTTCGGGACTTCTATCTATACCATGCGAGAATCTACTGGATACTAGCGAATCAGTGGAGGTAAATGATCGGATGGGTGGTTTCCTTTGTTTGTGTCGATACTTTTTACCTTTTTTTTCTTTTACGACTCGACTGACAAATAACTTATTGTGTGCTTTATACCTTATTGGAATCTTCTGACGTCTATGGTTTTTTTTTTTCTCTTCTTTTACTTATATTCATTTACGGCTTCGCATCGCTTGGCTTCCGGTTGTTCATGTCCTCGATTTTCTGTTGTCTATAACTTCAATGTTTTAAGTTACGTCTCTGAAGCAATTCAGATACAGATACATACATACATATGTTCACATATAATATTTGCGTATATCCATTCAATAGATACATAAATCTCGACCGTGCATTGACGAATACAATCGAATCCATGGTAGAAGCTTCACACACCCGGCATCCAACTCGACAGGCACAGTCATATATATCAAAAAATGTCACCCGTACAGCTTTATACGTATCCAATGTCATCCAACAAGTGATTACAGCTTCGCCCGTTCCTGCCGCTCAAAGTACTCCCGCACCCGTCGTCGTGCCTCATCCACAACCTCGGCATCTTCCACCGTCGGCGGCACATTCACCGGCGCCTCGTACTCCCCGCGCACTGCATGCTCAACCAGCTCCCGCAGCACCCGGCGTAGCGTCTTCCCACTGCGCGTCTTCGGGATCATTCCCCGGCCCTGAATCATGCCTCCCAGGGACGCGATTGCCCCGATCTGGTCGCGCACCAGCCCGTTCACCTCGTGGAACAATTCCGCTGCAGGTTTCGCGGGGATGGGCCCGGTCGCGGTCCGTGGCTGAATGAACGCGAACGGGAGGTGGCCCTTCAGCGGGTCCGGGAGGCCAACCACGCTGGCTTCGCCGATTTGCGGGTGCGAGAGGATTGCTTGCTCGATGGCGCCTTTCACACAGAAGTGTTAGCCTGTATCTACTCTCCCTACATAGATTCAGTGATGCGACGTCGAGACTTACCCGTACTGAAGCGATGCGCCGCGACGTTGATGATGTCGTCGGATCGCGCCATGATATGTATATATCCGTCTTTATCGATCATCCCTGCGTCCCCGGTGTCGAGCCATTGTCCCTTGAATCTACGTAGATAACTCCGGTAAAATCGATCGTCGTCGTTGAAGAGTTGCGTAAATGCGGTGGGTGCCAGTGGAATGCCCAGGACAATATTTCCCATCGTGCCCGGAGGCAACGGGTTTCCCTCGTCATTGACTACGCGCACGTCAAATCCAGGCATGGGCAGACCTGCAGATCCTGGTCGAATGGCCAATGGTTTCACTGCATCAGTATGGCACGAGGACGGCTCCATTGCCGCAGCGCTTCTTAGTGCCAAGCCAGATATGGGAGACCCTGACTCTGACGACCACCAATTGTCCACCACCATTGCACCGGGAGCAGCGTATTGGCTCAGAAGTCCTTGGTAGGCTTGGACAATGCTGGGTTCACTCCTTTCTCCCGCAAGAAACAGTGCGCGAAAGTGTTTGAGACCGCCTCGCTGGGCCACCTCTTCAAAGCGGCGATTGTTGGGATCATCCTTGCGGATGGCCCGCATGGCTGTGGGTGCCGTGAACAACACATGGGCCTTATGCTCTTCGATAATCCGCCAGAAGGTGCCCGCGTCCGGCGTTCCCACCGGTTTTCCTTCGAAAAGGATCGTCGTCGCTCCAACCAAGAGTGGCCCATACAAGATGTATGAATGACCAACCACCCATCCAATGTCAGAGGCGCAGAAGATGACGTCTCCTGGGCCTTGTATATCGAATAGGTGTTTCATTGACAGCTGGAGTCCCACTGCATGCCCACCGGCCTCGCGAAACACGCCTTTGGGCGAGCCCGTGGTGCCTGGAATTGGTCCTCGAGTCAGTTTTACCCAAAGGCCTCACTGAAGATCGGGGTCGTACCACTAGTATAGATGATATATAGTCCATCTGTGCTCTTCACGGGTACCGGCTCGGCCCTGATGCCACGCATGCGTGCGCTTTTTACCAGTCGTTGCCAGTTACGTTGTCCACCTAACTTATCGGGGTTGTTCCATCGCAGCTGATCCCTCTGCCACACGATCACTTTCTCTGGCTTGAATCGACTCAGCTCGATAGCACCCTCAACCAACGGTCGGTAGGAGATAGGACCTTTCGACCCTTCGATACCGCACGACGTCGTCATGACGACGCGTGGCTTGGCCGCTTCGATGCGTTGTGCGAGCGACTTGGCTGCAAAACCGCCAAAGACTGCGGCATGAATAGCACCTAAGCGTGCGATCGCCAAAGCAGCAATGAGTGCCGCAGGAATCATAGGCACTGCCGATCGTTAGATTCTGGTGTTTATTTATCTTGATCGAGGGTGCTTCAGAATTGAGTCTTACTGTAGATAATGACGACGTCGCCCTTTCGCACACCCTCTTCCCTGAGCACGCCTGCTAGAACTTCGACTTCGTCCAATAGCTGTTTGTATGTATATTTCTCCTTCGTCCCCGTCACCGGGGACTCCCAGATGATAGCAATATTATCTCCATTTCCCGAATGGACATGCCGATCGACACAGTTGTAGGTGGTCGAGATCTCTCCGTCCGGGAACCAGCTCCAGTGAGAATGACTGGAGCCACTGGGAGTTGTTTTCGTTTGCTGATTGATGGCACGCGATGGCCGTTTATGCCAGTACAGTTGTTCGGCCTGGCGAGACCAGAAGCCTTCTGGGTCGCGCAGGGAGATGTTGTGTACCAACTGTTGCGGGTGGGGGGACATCGTGGATCGAGAACGATGCTGGAAAAGGGAGGGGCCTCTCTTCGAAAGCGTCGAAGAGATAGGACCGAAACCAATACTAACGGATGCAAAGCCGATGGAAGAGACAAGAAATGGACTGGCAGCAACACACGCCAACATGGCCAATATGAATAGGGAGCGGTGTCAGTTCTGGTGGGAGGATGAGGGTCCTCTTGCAGATAGTGAGCAGTTTAGTCCCTGTCACATTCCGCGCGGGATGGGTCAAGAATTGGACATGCTATCCGGAACCGCGCTGGTGTGCCGTGAGTCTAAGGGGGTTAGCATGGACACCGGCGTTTAACGTGCAGGCTCGGGGATGTGTTGGTCTGTACTAGGGCGATGCACCGCCGAAGTGGTCACGGAGGGGAAGGGAACACTTTTAACATGGTTGGTTTGTCTTTCAATCCAGAGTGGCGTTCGCGGCGGCGCGACCGCACCGAGACAACATGGACCGACATAAGCCTCCGGTGACAGCCGAGGGGGATGTGTTGTCGATCACCGAGGATGAGAAGGAGGAGAGGGAGGAGACAAGACAAGAAGAGAGAGAAGATGAGGGGGAAGCAGAACCAAAAGGTGGGGATGACAGTGAAGGGAGGTTAAGCAAGTGGTCAATCTCCCTTTCCCAGAGACCCACACCATCTTTCTCCGCTTTATGGAGACACTTTCTCAACATGTGCTACTGCAGCAGATCCGAATCAATTCCTTGGGAAAGCGAAAACAATTGTACAGTACAGTTGGAGTATCTACTAGTTATCTACTAGTATCTACCAGAAATGGGCGAAAATCATGAACGAAGAGACTTTATCCACTGGTAGTACAGAACCTACTACTCCAATGTTGACTAGTGACCAGTTGAGTTAGACAGCCTCAAGAATGAGACCTCATGCAGACAGTAGTTAGTATCAGACGCGATAACCGAGCTATTACAATCTTAGTTACAGTAGCATTACCTCATGGGACAGTTCGTATTCAGGAAAAAGAAATTCATCCGATGCCTTCATTGGAACATCCTCACTGGTCAGCTGGTTTCAGCTAGCTTTCAGCTGATACCTATGTATACTACTACCTTTAGTATAGGTATTCGATTACCAATTGCTCAACCTACAAATGTCAAGATACTAGCATAATCACAGGACTAGTATAACTCATTAGTAACTATTTGGGTCTCTCCCCATATACGGAACCCACCCTCAACATCAACCGGTGACGGAAATAGAATAGTATATTAGGTTATCGAAGGGATCCATCTTTCTTTTTTTAAACATCTTTGTGATTCTTTTGTGGTAATGCGAATGCATCGAAATTTCACAACTCAAAAGCTCAGCCGTAGGGTATCATATCGCAATGCCTGCTAAACGGTCGACTGCCATCCTCGCTCTACCGCACAAGTCGTTCCATCATCTACCGCCGCCCCTCATCGCTTCCTCCGACTCATCGCTCTCCATTGCCTCGACCAGCTGCCCCTCTTGCCTCCTGGCCCTTCATGCGCTATTCATATATGCGGAAGGTTGGGCGCTATGCCGACGGGCGCCGGACAACCAAAGCCAAGAAGAAAACGAAATAACCCAAAAAAAAAAAAAAAAAAAAAAAAAAAGAAAAAATTAACAAACAAGAACAGAAATTGCGCATCGTTCTATGGTCCCAGCAGCTCCGGAATCCCCTGTCCTTTGAAACATAAGATCCCCCATTGTAGCCGAAACACCCTGCCATGGACGCGAAAGAAAATCCAGCCCCCGGGCACATATAATACTATTAATAGACAAGCATGGTTCATGCATCAAGCACAATCGCTGACCCGCTCTCGCATCTGTTCGGATTGGGCACCTGCGAGGATTGGGGACCGAGAGGACGAGCGTCAACGAAACAAGAAACAGGTCGAAAGTTGTACGTTGCGTAAAGATTTTGCTGGACGGCGCATTGTCGACCAACCGGTATGAACATGGGGAAGATGCCGCCCCTGGTCCGAACCTCCACGAGGTCATATAAGAGAAGTATGAGATAGAGAGGCCAGGGGCAGACGTAAGTTGGGGAGAGGGAAAAAAGAGATAGAAATGCGAAAAGAATATCAGATCACTGACTGATCGAGAAATATAGGTGTGTGATCCTTGCAGCAGCAGAAACAGCAGGGCCAGCATCTAGGAGCTGGGAAGGGAATCAATCAGCCAGCTGAACGGGCCGTGCGGAGCCAACTATTCACAGAATCGTGCACTTGAAGGGGCGGCGATGGCTTCCTGTACGGTCGGGCCGGAACGATCTGGGATATTCGGGACCAGGATCACGCCCAGCACCCAAACCGGTCGTTCGTCTATCCTGAGATCGCCCTTGCTGTTGCTGACGCTGCTGTCGCAACATGCGGACCACGTCATAAAAGGCCTTCTCCACATTAATGCAGTTCTTTGCGGAAGCCTCGACGAATTCGCAACCAAGATCCTTGGCGAGCGCCTGTCCCTCCTGAGCCGAAACGGCGCGCTCAACGGCCTTGTCGCTTTTGTTACCAACCAACATGACCGGCACCGGAAGCGGGGGGCCCGAAGGCGTGTGAATCGGGGATCCCAGATAACTGGCCCCCGAGGGCGATCCGGAGTTGGCCGATTCCTTGACCATCTTGATCTGATTGTAAAACTTCTGTATGCGGGAGAACGACGCTCTCGAGGTGATGCTGTAAACGAGGACGAACCCTTCGCCGTCACGGATCCATTGGTCTCTCAGCGCAGTATATTCCTCCTGACCTGCTGTGTCCAGTACTTCCAACATGCACGACTGTTGATCAATCACGACTTGTTTACGATACGAGTCTTCGATGGTCGGATCGTAGGTTTCAACGAAATGGTTTAGACAAAGCTGTTGGGAAAGACCAAGGTCCAAAGATCAGTTGTCGGGACACCAGTGCGGGCGGGTACGCGAAGGGCTAACCTGAATTGTGAGGGCTGTCTTTCCGACACCACCATCCCCTAGCACCACCAATTTGTACAATGTCATTTTCCCCGACATGGTGAATGATTATTCTACCAGAATGGTAGGGTGATAGGTTGAGAGATAATTGGGTGTGTCACTGGGGAACAACCGGGGGTGGGTAAAGACCACAGGAGTGAAAAGAGGAAGAGAGGGAAAGAAAAGAAAAGCAAAGAGATCTATGAAGGCTCCACGGTGAGCACGGACGCGGGAACGGAGCGTTTCGATTCGCGAAACGCCTGGGTCCTAAGGAGGACGGCTATTTGAGTAGTGCGGTTAGCCACCGGAATCCATTGCCTTTGAAACCCCAGTCCAAGCTCACCAGTCCACACCGGAAGCGACAGGGAGCAGCCAGAGGAGGGGGTAAGGGAGGGGAAAATACGTACCTAAAACGCTCTGGAAAGAGGGTGGAAATTAGGGGAGAAAAAGAATGAGGGAGAAAGGTGTGAACGAAGAGCGATGAAGAAGTCGCCGAATTCTCGTTACTGCGACCTTCAAAGCAATGGAGGGGGAAAGCAACCAAAGATTGGAAGAGAATGTGGTGAAGGAGAACCTCTTGATTTGGCTCAAGGACTCTCAAATAAGCGGCCACCCACAGCTGCAAAATGGCACAAGCGGGCGGAGTTCAATTAGTGAGCTGGCCCGGAACTCCGCGTGAACGTAAGAAAATGAGATGAACGGGCTCGCCCGAGCTTCGAGACACACAGGAAGGTTTGCCTTAAGGTAATTCTGCCACGTGAGGGGCGAGACGCAGACAATGATCGCCAGCAGCGGATGTACTGAGAAAGTATCCGCAGGCTGCAAAAGGTGACTTCTTTTTCGGGGGGATGCTGAGTTTTGACGAGGGTGGAGGGGGAGGAGGGGAAGAGGCGCAGGACCTAAAGGGAGGAGGAGGTCCAAAGAGGCTTGGCCGGAAAAGATTCGACGGAAGAGGGGCAACCCCCAATTGTTGTTGTTGTTTTGGGAATGGTTCCAAGTTAAGGTCCCGAAGAATGAGAGGTGTACCCGGGAGAGGAGGAATCGAGGAAAATGGAAAAGAAAGAGGGAGAGAGGAAAAGTGAGAGAGCAGAGGATGGGAAGGATTCCAAGAAGTACAGAAAGAAATACTAGAAGGATGATGAGGGGATGGTATGGAGAGGGTAAAAGGGAAAATTAAAATGAGGAAGAATAAAATAAAATAGAAAATTAAATAAAAAGAAAAGAAAGGGCGAAAAAAAGGATGACTAGGATAGAGGGATGATAGATAATGAAGTAGCGGAGACGATGATCCCTGCTGGAGACCAACAGCCGCGGTTTAATTACAAGAGGTAAGTAGTAGTAGTAGTAGTAGTAGTAGTAGTAGTAGTAGTAGTAGTAGTAGTAGTAGTAGTAGTAGTAGTAGTATTAGTAGTAGTAGAAAATCAATCAATGGATGGGCTATATCGGAACCAATGATTTACTAGAATCAATCTAACCGGACGAGACACAATTGGAGTTGGGATTGAATCGAAAAGATCGTAAGGTGATGATGGGAGAGAGAAAGCAGAGGCAACAATGATGCATGGAGTGAGAAGAACAGAGAAGGGAGGAAGTTGCAGTAGGAGGAGGAGGGGGTGGAAGTAAGTCAGGTAAAGTAAAGTCAAGTAGAAACCGACCGAAGGAGGAGATAGGAAAGAAGTGGATGAGACGAAAGAGTCAAAAAAAGGTCACAGGATGACAGTTCTAAGGCAGGAGGCAGTCAAATCCGTCAGGTCATTAAGTTGAATGAATGAGTGAGTGGCCAAATCAACTCCCATACTACTGAAGGTAAGTAAGAAGGTAGCGATCTGGAGCTGGACAATGCTGCAACCCAAGACCCACGGGGGGTTGTGGAAACAAGTGGGAGGGTACGTACGGTATGATACGGTCATTTTGCCCGGTATGGAAGTCTCCCGGTGGGTATCCGCTACTTTCAGGTAACAACAACCCCTCCTCTTCTCTCTCTCTCTCTCTCTCTTTCTTTTTTCTTTTTTTTTTTTTTTTTTTTGTTTCTCTCTCTCTCTCTCTCTCTCTCTCTTCTGTTCTCGTTTTGACGTAGAATCGAAGGTTCTCATATAGATTACACTCTACCGAGTAAATTGGGGAATGCAGGAGTTGACCCAACCTTCGCTGTTCTGATCATGCTGTTGTTACCGATCACGCACACTAGGAACGAACCATTTTGAACCCGACAACCATACAGTGAACCGAGATCAACCTAGAATCTAGACCATACTGTCTGACATGGGTATATGTTTAGGAAGGAATCTTTAGAATTGCATAGGAACGAACTACCTATTGCACTTGTCTATCTACAGAACCTTCCAAACGAACGAGCAGCTTAGAGCTTGCTGCCTGCGACGCCTCGTGCTTTACATCATGAATCGGTCCCTGTCCCACCTGGGTTGTTTTGTCCGCTGCTTACAGGACAAGGAGTTGCATTCAATTTGAGGTTCAGTCTTGAGATGGTTTCGGGTAGACACGATGTGGGTGCATGGAAACACTAAGTTCAAGGCTGGCTCCCCACAACAGACATAAGTCAGAACGGGCATGGTAAATGGTAACAAATGGTATTCGCCCCGATTGCAGATTTGCAGGTTGGATCAGGAGTAAGGAACAAGTTCATTAGCTCTGAGTGTCCCTATCACGGAGGCACTAAGGGACAACCATTCGCCTGGCGCAAAGAGAAATCCAATGCGCATGTGGTGCCAACATTTAACCCGCGATGGATGAAAGGCAAACCATACCACACTTGCTCATGCCGTGCCCAGGCGAGTAAAGTTAGATACCTGCTGGTGAACAAGAACCTTTTGCGCCACCAGGTGACTGCCCGAAGTTCTACCAAGGGACCAGAAAGGCAGTGCTCGATATGACGCCTTACGGAGCAAAGCCACTCGTCTGTATGGACCAAAGTAGGTCCATGAGGACCCATCCATCCCGTGTAGCAGGAGGATTTTCACGGTTGACGATGCCCTAAGAGTCGCAAGTTCCACTCAAGTGCGACGGGGAGAAGGAAAGAACATTCCGCGCCCCCCCTCTCTCCCCTGGGGAACCGGACTAAAACCAACCATCCTGATTATCGGGATTTTGTAAAAGTGTAACAAATTCGCCCAAGAGCCATTGTACTTGGGCTGCGACGCGTCGTTGTTTGTCAACCAGAAGTGCGTTGGAAACCTCAACGAACTCGGACAATGCTAGTGAGTTACGGGAGTATTCTATTAGTCATTATTTGCACACTATTGGGGAGTTAACCTTGATGTTCACCAGTAACAGGTTCGTGGATATAGGTGCCCCCAACATCGTAGAAGACTAGTAGCGTTCTCGAACAACGAAAAGGGGCTTCTAAGTAGAACAAAAGTCTCCATCGCCGCGGTATATGACGTTTGACAAATCGGCTTCCGGTCAGTCTTAGTTTGAGGATGGTAAAACCCTGGAGACACCCTGGTGGGGAGGGGAAGGCATTGTCCTTTCCCCCTATTGCATCTGCAGCATAGGGAGATTTATCGGAAGCAAAAGGTCACCATTCATGAGCTAAAATGTTAGCCCCTTGAGACACACTAAATAGGTTAGGAGAGATCAACTGTTCGAGGTAGCACAGTATTGCATGTACCGTTGACCTTGAAAGAGACCTAATTGACTAGTAACACAGGGCTCCCCAACCTCGAAAGACGATGTGAAATACTATACTTCGTAGTTAGTTAACTAACTAATAGCATATTCTGAACTTTGCTGGCTATCTGTTGGGTGACCTTCGACTATTGTTGGAGGTAGTGTACAGATCAAGTATCGGGCCGGTCCATAGCGCGAGAGTTGGACCTCCGGCCTTTCCTTTGAGCTAGAGCTTACTGCCTACAGCGACGCACCCAGAGTCAGTCCTCGAATCACTTCCATCCCATCGAGATTGTGCGGAGCGAGCAAGATTGAAAGAAAAACTTCCTCCGGTTGACCGGACTGAGAGCAGACAAACTCTTACCAAGCCACATTATAGGCGCGATCTTTTGAAGAAGAACCTACCGGCCTGCTCTTGATTCGTACTTCCAATTCGCTTGCTTGATTCTCCCATTAGTTACCTGTTCTGGTTTACCGCGAATGTGACCGGGTTTGGTTTTTCGGCTACGGGAGGACAAATTGTAAATTCAACAAGAGAATAATGAATCCCCCTGGGATAAACACACAAAACACACACACACACACACACACACACACACACACACACACACACAACTAGGCATTAATGTCTCGTCGCAAGCAGAATCCCGCCTACTGTGTGCTATCTATCCGTTAACTAAGCACCTTCCTTCTCGGGGGGTTTGAACCGTTGTTGACATGTAGATTAATATGAATTAATCAACAACGAATCCACCAGGAACGCGAACCCATCGTGATGTGGCCTATCCCCTGGGACTTTGAAGCTATCCATCATTTTAAATAGCATCGCGAGTAATATCCCGGCCCCATTTCCTTCCACGTGGGTGGCTAAAGTAGCTCTCGGGGATTACTCAACTACTACTACTAACTACTAAGTAACTAGTAACTACTGCTATCTAGTACTGTGTGGTTGATATCTACTGGATGGCGGTCCGTGGTCCAGAATCTATCCTCCTCAAGGAAGTAAATCTGCCGGTCTTTTCATTCCCATTGAATCGCCGGACCTGGTCATCTTCATGATAGGTAATCTGGAAGAAAATTCTGACACCGACGGGATGCCCGCTCCCTTCATTGGTGTGTCTGTGAGTCGTAGCCGACGCTACCGGCTTAGTCTTCGTCCCATCACAATCAAAGCTGACTCGCACGTCTTTCAACGGTGGATGGACCGCCGGCTAGTCCGGAACAGGTCAGATGCAGGTTTCCGTACCTGCTCCAGTCAAGAAAGCTAGGAGTAATGGATAATTCTTTTGGTTAAGGCTTTTTGGATTTTATCTTTCTTCATCATAAGTATTATTTGTTCTATATATGTATTATATTTTACTATTATTTTTTCTTCCTCTCCCTCTCCCTCCTCGAAATGAAACGCTTAACAACTCTCAACAACAGTGGTATTGTGTAGAAAAACCAGTCGAGAACCCCTACATTAGGAGCGGCAACACCATACATACTTAATGCTTAGTATAACCGTCAGTGCGTTTTACTTCTCTTTTCCCCTCTTCATCGGCCAACCTAGAACTACCGGCTGCATGACTTGCATGCACCCCATGAAGGACCTGCATCTATGTAGATAACTATCTTCGACCTCCACCCATCATGCATGACTTCTGAACCAACGCATGCAGCTTGCTGCTTGAGGATTATGATGGCCCTGGTTGCTAGAGAAACACAGTGCAACATCTGCGGCCAAGCATGCGAACGCATCAGGGGGGACAGCAGCGTAAGAAGCAGAGAGGGGAGAAGGGGGAGAAAATAAGAAGAAAAAAAAAAAAAAAAAGGCGTCCCACCTGCCTGGGTCACTAATTACCGGCTAGTGACTAGTATCGACTATTTACTAGGTAACCTGCCCACTCTGCACATGGCTTGGGTTCCCCGTGCATCCTGACAGCTTCCACTTCCTAGTTTTTACCAACAGCTAACCTTGGTCGTTTCCTTCCCATTCTCCTCAACGTCAACGACAGGTGTACTCTTCTACTGTCTGGATTTTCCCAAGAAACCATACTTATGTCCGGTGTCTCATTCATTCCCACTAAAAGAGCCCCCCTATCCGTTGCCTCTGCATGGGTGAAGTGGAATCCGCCACATATCCTGCTTCTCCATACAAGCGAGTAATATAGTTCGAACCCCCTGAAAGAACCTTCCGGAGAGAAAGGAAATTGTCGCGAATATCTAGTTCCTTCTAGACGCATTCTGAAATGCTTCCTTCCCACCCACTTTTTTTTACGATAATATCGTGCCGAGCCCAGCTTTGCCCCCTCACTCCTCAATTTTTATCCCATCATCGTCTTGCATGCCGTCCACTAAGACAGAGCATAGCAGTCTCCGACCAGATGAAACCGATCTTCGAGTCCATCCTGACCGATCTTCGAAAAAGCCCCGTGCCTGACAATCCTGTCCAGACCCGGATTGGGCATCTTGGCCGACGGCTTTTTGCCAAGGCAGTCTAGGAAGTAGACCACTGCTCTAGTCGGGCATCGTGCCTCGGGAGATGCGGATTAGTCTGCGAGGTCTTCTCTGCGTTAGACACGTCCCCCCGGCTTCAATTGCCTCTCCTCGTTAGATGGTCCCTCATCTGCCCCCTCGACTGCCCTGACTAGTAAAGTCTAATTACGGTCTTGAAGTCTAATAAGCCGACCGGTAGTTACATGATGACTGCATAACTACTTCCTTTTACTCATACTAAGTGACCAGTGTTCTTTAGTCAAACGGTCGCCTGTTTTGACAAAATGGTTGTTGCGTAACGCAATGCATGAGAAGCGTGGTCGTGAATTTTGTCCTTCACTTCTCCTCAAGCTAAGGAAAGAACGAGCAAGACCGGAACCAGGACATGCTCTGTGCGCGCAACAATCCCTTTCAATCTACATTTCTCGAAGCAACGCAGGGTTGGTTAATATTTAAACCCATGTGATGCCGAACAGCGAGGCCCGATATCCGTGCAAATCTATCCACGCGCCACTGGAGATCATTACTATCCACTACGCCTCGAAGGGCAGGATGTCCGGGAATGGACCAGCCGGGATGATCGTCTGAGTACTGCCCGACCGCTTTCCTAGCGCCTTCAGATAGTTGAACTTGTACTGCTCAAGACTGTTAGCGATTGCCACCTTCCGACTATCACGGTTCACTTACTATGCCAAAGAAAGTGGTCTTCTTGAATGCTCCGCCTCGGGTACGCTGCGTTTCATCATGGTACAGTCGTCTATACCAACGGTCGAGCAGCGGATAATCATGTCGGATCATCTTCAGGTTGCAGCGGAAGATCAGATAGTAGGCTACATCGAACCGACAAATGGTCGTGTACAGTCGGATGTCCGCCTCCGTGATATTCTCCCCAAACAGGTATGGTTGATGGCCTGGCTGTGCCAGATGCTGCTCAACGCGGTCCAGGGCCTCGAACAGTGGATACACATTCGCGTCATAAGCCTCCTGCGTTGTGGCGAATCCGGTTTTGTACACGCCATTGTTAATCTTGTGATACACCCACTCATTCATTGCGTCAATCTCTGACCTCAGATGTGCCGGGTAGAATCCCCCGCCAGGCCGGTTGGCCTCACGCAGCACCTCCGGCAGAAGATGGTCGAACTCTGTGTAAAGCATCCTGATGATCTCGCCACTCTCGTTGTTCACGATCGTTTCCTTCATCTTATCCCAGAGCATCGGAACGGTATAGCGTCCTTGATAGTCCGGCTGCGCCTTGAAATAGAATTGGCTCAACTTTGTGAACCCATACAAGGGATCTTTTTCTGCGGATCCCCATCGGCCAGAGAAGAACCAACCTTCGGGGCCCAGCTCGGGGTCCAAAACGACGAGCTGGATGATGTCCTCTAGGCCCTTGAGAGATCGAACCAGGTTGGTCCGGTGCGCCCACGGACATCCGTAGTTCAAGTATAGAACATAACGATCCCTTTCAGCAGGGAACTCTGCATCAGGATTCGATGATACAGTCGAGCGGAAGGCGGAATCCTTGCGTCGGAAGTGACCATCTGCATCAGCATGGCGATGCACTTGGGATTCCTGTCACAGCTTAGCTATCCCGTGTTCTAGAAACACTCATCAACGACGATCTATACCTGTTCCGCCATATTGCTAACAATCGAATCAGATCAAAGCCGACAAGGTAATTGATATGTCAAGTAGCACCAGAAGATGAGCGCACTGCTTACAGTATCACCGTTCGAACTGTCAGTCAGCTTTTGTTTATACACATCCTGAGGTCTGGGCGCTGACAAATCGCCACGATGATGACATCTTATGATGCGGGGCAGAGCTTGGAAAAATTAACCGAAGACTGAGCTATCGTCATTCCTAAAGCAAGCGCGTAGGGGGATATGCTAATGCCTGGATATAATGACAGGAAAGACTGCATCAGTAGAAAGGATGCCCTGGACAATTTTTCGGGTGGTGCAGATGACATTGCACGACCTTGTGCTCGACAAATGGCGTGCAAAACCAGCGCCTGGACACATTCCACCCCCAAAAATCTAATCCTACAGCCTCGTTACCTTCAAAACACCAAGTTGCTCAGCCACTCCAATCAGGCCGCTGTAGCCATGCTCGAGCCACAGGTCGACAAAACCCTCCTGTTTGGCTTCGGCAATCTGTTCAGAGGTGAAGGTTTCCTCCTGGGGCCGTTCGACGTAGATCGTCATGAAGCCTGCTTTCTTTGCCGCTTTGAGATCGTACAAATGTGCTGCTACCATACCACACTCACTGGGATCCAAGCCGAACCGCTTGGCTGCTCCATGATACGCTTGGAGGGCGGGCTTATAGGCTCCGAAGTGCTCAGCGCTGGCCACGTTCATAAAAGGCAATGACCCATGTTTCAAAAGATCTTCTAGAAGGGACACATTGCCGTTCGACAACGTACAAGTCTGAAAGCGACGGTTCAACAGCCTGAGGCCTTCGACTGAGTCTGACCAAGGCTCGAGGCGATGCCAACAGAGTGCAAGATCCCACCGCTCTTCATCAGAGAAAATGTCGTGGAGACCGTACTGGTGGAGCAACTGCTGGATGGAACTATAATGATGTTCATCAACCGATACGAACGTCGATGATGGCTGAAAAGTTTTCGTAAACCGTCCATAGGAGGCGCGCCATTCTTCCGCAATGGCCTGCCAGTCCTCAGGGGTCATGGACTGTACCCGTGCGCGGACGTCCGCTGGAAGCTGCTTTCCAGGATCGAGCAGAGCATGCTCAGCCGCTTTCATCAGGGCCCGAGTAACGCAGGAGCGCCATTCCACGACAGTGCCGAAGATGTCAAAGAATAGTACCTTTGGAAGTGGGCTGATCGACATGATGGGATGTATGATTTGACTCGTGTGGCGTACCTATCTAGCTGATGCAAGGTTCGGGTGTCACTGTCCGTGTTCCGTTTTGCACAACGCCGCTGAAGGTGCCTGTCTGTCGGGACGTAATTTTAGAGCTTTGGATCTTGGCTGATGTGTGTACGGGGTACGGAGGAGATGCGTTCTATAGCGGTACTTCGCGGGTCTGTAAGATATGCACGCTGCGGTGTAGCAGAGAGGATGTCCGAAGGCGCCGACCGAGCTAAAGCATCAACAACACTTCCTACTGATAATTCCACGGCTCTAGTTGTTTGCCTAACCTATCTAGATATATGAATTCCACAATCCTTGGGGAAAGAAAGAGAAGAAATCAGCGACGACGAAGTCATGAGGGGAAAGAATGGCGAAGGCGAAGAAAGTGTGCCCCGGCAGAAACATCAGCCAAGAGTTCTGGCGATGCAAAGCATGCAAAACGATCGACTCTCCCTCACTCATTCTCTCTCTCTCTCTCTCTCTCTTCCCAATAGACCCTCCCCCTCCTTTCTCAGCTCTTTAACCCCCTCCTCTCTGTCCCGTGTTCGAAAAGTAACGAGACTTTCATTACTTTTACTTGCCGTCCAGAGTTCGGATTAGACTCCCGGCTGGCTGATCCAACACGATTGTACAGAGACGGGAGAGGCAAAGAAAGTATTAATGAGATTCCCCCAACCCCACAAGCTGCGGTGATCCCTGGATCTATCACATTATCACCATCCATCGCTGCTTCAGGTTAATAGACGGGAAACTACGGGGTTACGTCTCACTGGAGGTCCGCGCATCGCTGGCCCTGCATTGAACGTTCACCGTTGGCTGACCAGGCATCTTTTAGTTATCCTTTCCTGGATAATGACAGCTGCAGCCCGATGATCCTTCAAACGGCGTGATCTTGGTCTGTCTAGGACCGGAATGCGATTCTCATTGGCTGTATCAAAGAGGCCTCTTTGGTTTCCTAGTCTAGCCAGGAAGACACTATCTATGTGATCGCCTCTTTCGAAATGCGTTGTTAGTACTATGATAGTTGATCCTGGTGCTCTCTAGAGCGACGCGACGACATCCGAGACACCAGCCGGACCAGTCCAGACCAACCGCGGATGTTCTCCGGCGAGAGCCACTACTGGATATTAGGAGATTAACACTAGTATTATAGTTATAATTGTATACAACGATTTAATAATGGACTGTCTAAGTATGATCCCTGTCTAGTGTCTACTTCACACTGCAGCTTGCACAGCCGTTCAGGTAACGCACGGCCGACCTGTCAGGTCCGGTTTACCCCTGAGATGAAGGCCGGAAGGCGCAAATTCCAGTCCGTCTTGCCGCGTGGGTCGCCAAGCTTGAAGCCGGCGCAGACTAGAGCCGATTAGACTGCAAGCCAATTGGCTTTGGTACGTAACTGCTCACGTTCTCTTAAGTGAGCCAGGGACGAAGGTCAGATGCTGATTTGACTGAACAATACCGGATTGATAACTAGATAGATACTAGCTGGCAACACGTCCTTTTTGCTCCATTCCTTTCGATCTAACGCACATCATCGCCTTGCGTCACACGGACCGCGCGAGAAAGGTGATCGCAGACGGCAAACATCGATGGTCGCCAAGCCATTAAATGAACTCGATATGAATAAATATCCACCCCAGAGGTCCGTGATGATTTGGTGACAGGAAAGGCGAGTTTACTATAGATCCCGTCCGTTAACGCAGAAGTGATCACGAGGAGACGTTTTCCCTCGCAGGCTGCCAACAGCAAGGAAGTCTGCAAAGGGTCATTCAGTCTCCCCGCCTCCCTGGTATGTAATTTCCGGACTGGAGACACTACCCAAAAGTTGAGCGCCGGGCCGTCTCCCAAGGTGGTCCTGAACCAGGGAACAGGGGAAATGATAAGTGGGGAGCTAAGCTGAACGGAAGCACCCAAGGATCCTTCCCGACTGTTCCTTTCGTGCACCCCTTCTGGTCTATATTCGGCTCGGGAATCAACGAGCACAGGTAGTACTGTATGGAGTACAAAGCGCGGAAATTAAACGCCTCCCATGTGATTGTATGTCAGATGCTGTACTAGGTGCCCTTGACAACTGAACCACCAACTTCCGGGACGACCAACTTGATGAAGGAACTCCGAGTCTACTCCGGGTCTGAAAGCAGATCGGGGGTTAGCAAGCGCATCATCAGGACGTGACGGGATGGTTTTCCTAAATATAAGTTGCGCAGATTTTTCTGGGGCTGGTGAATGGATTCTGAAACATGGAGCACGGGCTTGTTGGAAAATCCATTGGTGGCTTTGAACAAGATGTTCTGAAGCCTCCCGCTCGCCATTCAATCATACGATTGGGGAGATGCAAACTTTCTTCGACGGCTAGTACACCCATCATCGTCGCGTCGGCTGGAGTCAGTCCTTGCAGGCTGGCCTTCACTTATCCCAGTGACTATTCAACATCTACTGTCAAGACGCTCGCCCGGTATGACCGATAAATGGCAACGAGGCTACCAATATATCTTGGCCATCGGAGAGAAGTCATATATAAGGCAATCTCACCAACCAGCAGGCGCAGAATCGAAATCGAGGAGAGACGACGATCCCATTGAGTCCACCGGTGGACCCGACTAGTGACTGACACGAACTGCCGTCAAGTTCAAGTACTACGGTTTCTAACGACCTTTGCCCGGCAGTCTTTGTGCCGGCCGTGGATTCTTGGTCGACTTCGGTCGCGTTTTAGTCCACCTTAGCTTGGTCTTGTGTTTTTTTGCTTTTCCATTCAATTGGCTTATCTTTCTATTAATGCCAATTTTATTTTTGTTGAATTATATTTTCTTTTTCCATTTTTCCCTTCCTACTTCGTGCTGGGATTCCCTTGGCCCCTCCCATCGGGTACACTTTCATCGGATTCGCACAAGAAAGTACAAAGTACACAGGGACGATCTTCAGCTTACCGTCCTCCTTTTAATTATATTGATTAGTTTTATTCTAATTTTTTTTTTCTTTGCCCCCTCGCTTTTGCTTTCGCGTTTGCCATCCCCTGTTCCCGCGGTGTGCTAGGATCAATGCATGTTGCCTTGTTTCAGATTCGACTCGAGTCCCTTTTCCTTCTGTAGACAGGTATCACTGCCTCTTGTTATTTTTATTACATATAATTATTTCCTGCTCGGCTGCTTTCTTTCATTGGCTATGCTTTTCCACCGACGAGGGTTTGGCTGTTACCAGTCCGCCGGTCACCAGCCATTCATCTGCAATGGCGGCGGCCGATCCGTCGCACTGCCAGACACATCCTCTATCACTTGCCTATTGGATCGGGATCCTCCAGCCCAGCTGTGGCAAGCTCTAGTGGAGCCGCTCGGTGGTTTCTCTCCTCACTAGTCATTGGGTGCGTGGAGTTGGCCTTCGGTTCCCCATCTTCCCCCTAACGAACACCCCTGGACGAAGCTAATGCGCTAGTTTGCTCTGGTTCTGGCAGACAATAACTCCGCTGTCGAATGGGCCTACCTCTATCACTCATTTACTGGGCTAGCTGTCCCCCGCCCGATGTATGGGTCATGGACAAGGTTCTTTCGTGCAAGGCCCAGTTTAGCTCTTGAGCCGGTGTACTCCAAATCACTAGAGGGTGGCCTGGCAAACAATCTCCCCTTTCCCCTCAGATCCTTTGTCTAGACTTCCGCGGCCTCTGGCAGGTAATAAAAATAAATATTTTGGGATCCGATTTCGCGACGCTGCTGCTTTCTTGATCGTCCTCCGATCCTGTTTCCATCCATACATCCTGCCCCCCTCCTCCCCATCCCCGCGTCACGAGAGAGACCTTGACTCAGTTCATACTTTGCTCCCCCTCACTGGCCTCTCTTTCCCAGCACACTCATTTGCATTGACGCGCCTGCAGCCTGTGCATTGTGAAGGTGGCAAGCCTTGAACTCTGATTCGATCGCAGGTAAGTACCATCCTTGTTTCTGCATGCCTTATCTGGTCTCCAGCCCTACTTCCAACCGCGTCCCTTGGCGCTCGAAGCAGACACCATGTGCTGATCAGGTCTGCCCTTTTGCGCCAGAAAGTCTAGTAGCCACGACGCTTCAATAGATTTTGACGGGCGAACGGCTGGCACATTCAGACCTCGGCCAGTCGAGCTGGTCCTTGCTGGGGACGTCGAGGATCACAGCATATGTAAAGCTCACGGAAAGCGCATGACGCGGTACTACAATCTTTGGTTGCTCAGTTGCAATTGAGGGGATGCGTTGAGCTGTCGAACATCCACCGACCTTGGGCATACACACACAATGGCCACTGAGACCGTCTACTCAAGCCCTGCGGCGAGGGCCGTCCCGACGCCGTCTGCAACACCGCAAAGACCTCCTTCGATACACATTCGGGCAGATTCCTCCCCCGGCCTGTCGTCTTCGCCTAATTCCCTACCGATCCTGAATTTCTCGCCCGATGCCCGCAGTGACTATGATGATACTGCTGACGAGGACAACTTGTCGCCACTAGATCCGCGGCGCTTCACACCTACACTACATGCCTCACTTGTTTCCGAAATTCTTTCTCTGCGGCGAGACGTGGAGGGTAAAGCAAAGGCAATTGATATACTCGAACGGACTCTAGACGAAACACAAACGGAGAACGAAAGTCTCGCTGAACGTCTATCCAAGAGCACTAAGGAGTCTCGTTCGCTCAAGCATCAATTGCAGCTGCTGGAAGGTGGATCTTCGTCCGCCCTCACTGAGCTAGCACGAGAGCGTGATGAAGCCCTAGAAAACATTACAGATGTCCGTAGGAAGCTAGAACAAGCCCAGAAGAAGGCACGAAGCCGTGAAGAGGAGGTAGAGAAAACGGCACAGCTTTGGAACCGAGACAAAGATGCTTGGGAAGGCGAACGGAGAAACTTGGAACGAAAAGTGCATGTGGTGGAAGGGCGCCTGAAGGTCGTGTTGAGTGAGGTAGCCGCTGCTCAAGCAGCTGGCTCATTTCACTCAGCCCAGAATTCCGATGACTCTGGGCGTGATCGGACCGCAACATTGGTAGAAGTCGGGAAAGACAGCGACTCTGCAAGTGTTGACTCAAGAAGCAGTCAAGGGCATCGTCGGACCAGTGTCACAAGTGTGAGTGCTGACAGCGTCGATGAGACTGACTATCACAACGTGCGGTACTCCGTCGCGAGTGTAGCCACCGCCCATGGTCTTAAGAGCGAGGGGCTGAGCTTGGCTCAAGAGTTGGCATTTGACGAGGAAGACGAGTTCGAGTCCTTTGAAACCGATTTTGTACCAGAGTCGCCCGAGGCACTTCCAGAAGAACGGCCGGCTTCCGTTCACTCGCAGTTTTCTTGCACAATGAGCATGGGTGCCAAGGCGAGGAAAATCCTCGGTCTTTCTCTGACCAGTGCAGATGGCCATGGGTTCAAGGCTGATGGGGGCTCAGAGCCCAGTAGCCCTTTGAAAATGTCCACGACACCCTATGTGTACTGCGACGCAGGCATCCAGTATTCGCCTCCCCCGTCGCCCGTGTCACCATCAAAACCTGAACTACCGTCCGTGGAGCAGACTGCAGAGCGCCGTGATAGCAAAATTGCGAACCACTATCAAGGTAAAGACAGTGGCACATCGGCGCTTACAATTGATATGGTATCGGCTTCCTGTCAAACTGTCGAAGACCTTCCCACTCCCCCATGGACTCCTAAGCTGGACGAGACACCGCAGCCCGCCCCAGAGGTGACCCCGATGGTGTCTGTGTCGGTACAGACAGTGCAAACTCCTGTCGCACAGACAAATGACAAGGGAGTCAGTGCCTCGCCAAACGACATGGAGTCGCCCGAGATTGATATCCCAATGATCGCCATACACCCGCCACACTCGGAGCCCCCTTCGCCCCGAGGGAGCGTGGTTCTTCCACCCCAAACTAAGAGCGTTTCCTGCCAGGCTAACATCACTCCGAGCATCGACAGTCGAACCATTGGCATCCAGACAGAAGATATTCGGATTGATCAAAGGCCTGTCAAGCTACCAGCCAGTCTACTCCCATCAGCGATACCCGACCTCCCACTGGGCGAAAATGCCCAGGATCCTCCTATCCAGCCGTATCATGCCCCTCCTCCAAGATCAAAGAGACGTGAGAGCAAAGCATCTGTACGCACCAAGCCAGCCGAGCCAGTGCAA